ATCGGTAATTTGAGTTTCTAAATCATACGAAACTATAGACTTAGTATTTTGACTTCACAAACATCTGATTTGAATTAGTGCTGCATTCAACATACCACGTGACACACAAAAATCAATGTTTATCAGTGATTTTTAGTATTTATTTTTAAATTAAAAAATTGAGTAATGTATAGTACAAAAATTTGAATTATAAGCTACAGTTTGATACCAAAGTTATTGACACAAATTAATGAAATATTAGTTCAATAAAACTTTAAATGCGAGATGACATGGTCTTTCACTTGTGACCTGTTTCAAAAGGGTTAAATGAATAACAAAACTTTTTTTTACTAAAAGTTTATATTTTTATATCTCATATTCTTTACCTATCACTAACAGTAGCAAATTATCTATATCTAAAGTGAAAAATATGAAATAATAGCAAACATACATTGTTTTTCTAGACTGATTGTAGCTTGTCACAAATTACAGCTTTTTATTCCAAACATCCTCTGTCTTCTGACACTTTCCTACCTAATTTCATTTAATTTTTTTATTTTATTGGTTTTTTGAGCCATGTCTAACTCACTTAACACTCTCTCCACGTATATCTTTTTCTGCATGTCACGAGGTTTTATTGAGTTACATTCACAATTTAATAATCACGGTATATCAAATAAACTTGAAATTAAAATTTAGCTAATAAATCAAATTTTAGTATTATAGAAATTTTAAGTTCTTAATCTTATAAGTCAATATTAAAAAAAAAAATCCTCAATTCTCCTAGTATGAGAATTGTGGTATCCCCTCTAATTTATTTATTATCCCTCTGAGAAGTATGAAATTTAATGTAAATTACTTATTACATGTCATCACTCAGGTAAAGTATAATTTTTATAGCTCTCAATCTTATCTGGTTCCAGAGCCATAAACTAGAAAATCAGACCAATCTTACTACTCCAACTTGCACATCCTCTCTCACACAAATGGCCAATAGTTCTCTCTTACATTCAATACTATATTATTTATAACCAATAGAAAGCCAAGGTTTTCATCTATAAAATGACATATTATATTACATTGCTCTCTGTAAAGAGAATTGTCAATTTCACTTTCAGTTCCAGTTTGACTCTCACAGGAAATACATCAACGAGCTTAGATGAAGTTAGAAAGCCAGAAAAATTGTGATAATTATAGGACCTTGTCTGTTTTTTGTATGTTATTATTCTGTGTTCTTGGATCATTATTTAATTAAATAAAAAATTATTTAGTGCAGTATTACCATTAGTATAAAAAAAACTAGGGTTAAGTTTCATTGACAGATGACAGCAAAAAGAATACCCAGATAAGTACTTTTTCTAATTTTTCATGTATATTCTTTATTTATTATTATAAAAATATAATAAAATATAAAAATAAGAAACTTATGTTAGTTAAGGTTAGATTAGGTTAAATAAATAATAAAAATATAATCAAATTTTCACGAGGTACGTTCTCGAGCAGCTTAATGTAAATTAATAGCATAACATGAGTTGCATGTTTGTCAAGTGACTTACAACTTATAATGGCACAAATATTAGTTAGACAGAGTTCAAAGGGACAATAAAACAATAAAATTTAATTATAAATAGATGTATACTGTTACAAGTTTAAAGCTAGTTAGGATAAACAAATGTAGTTTCACACTACATTTGAAGTAATTCTAGAAAGAAAAAGAAGGTAATTTAGACTTATTTTGATTTTTTTTATGGTTACAAGATCAGTCAAATTGACCAATAGAGTTAGGAAAGAGAAAATTACAGATGAAATATAAAGTTTTACTCGCAACAAACATTTCAAATGTACTTAGGGGTTTTTAAGAGATTACACAAATGAAATTTGAGATGAAGAAAAGTATTTTTAATTTTAACATGAAAATCACTTTGCACATAGACTATTCAAAACAAATACTCGATACTTTCAAGGACAAATCTATTTTTAATTTATTAAAAATACTTCAGTAAAAAATATGATTTTTTTGTATGTGAAAGACTTATAATGTTATAATTTTGTGAAGATATACACATTATATTAATAGTTAGTAGTATCAAATCTATAAAGACTTTGAACGAGTACAAAGAGGTCACATGGTCGGTCAAATTGACCGAGACTGTGTTGAGAGAGTTAAACTTTTGTTAAATGTCAGCCTCCACCATTTCTAACAGCATCTCATTCCATAATCCAAACTCTTTGTTAGAAAAATAAAATTATTGTAACTGAAGTTTAGCTTGTAATTACTAAATCTTAAACTTGTGTTCTCTCATTCTGTTGTCTTCAAAATATAGCACAAAGAAATCAGAGGTCTTTACCCTAACAATCTCCTAAATCATCATGTAAATTTCATTAAGACCATCCATTTCCCTTCTTTTTGCAAAATATCTCCATAAGTTAACCCTTTCACCCCTTGAATAATTGGGGATAATGTAGACAGGGTGCTTGAAAAGATTGGTACATTATTCAAATGGGAAAGTATTATATAATACAAAATAATAACAATATTCTTGAGCCTGAACATTTTATGCAAACATTGCAATTGTCCTAACTCATGAAGATATTAATTCTCCTTGGTGAAAAGAAAAGACAGACATTTGAAATATATTAATCACTATAAGGAGACTAGGTTTTCCCCAGTTTTGAGAGGAGGTCAAAGATCATATATGCAAGCTTCTGTTGTTTTTTTTTGCAAGACCAATCCCACATTGGACATGTGCCTGAAGATTGGAGAGTTCTAATATTACTCCTATCTTCAAAGCTGTGATATAAATTGTCCTGTAAATTATAGGCCAGTTAGTCTTATATTAAAAGGCTAAAGTTCAAGGTACTTGTGTAAATAAATAACTAAAATACTAAAACAATCAGTTTTTAAACACAATTATTCTAAGACCATCAATAATTTCAAAACAGACACACTGCATGTTTCAATGTACAATCACTTCATTATTTTGTACTTTTAAACTGAATTTTTCATAAATAGTATGACCATTCTCATCATATGAAAAAAAGTGATATATCAACACTATCAGATCTTTTATGAATTTTAAACACCTCAACTAGATCCCCTCCACCTCTTTTTTTCAAGACAGAACAATTTCAGAGAACCTGTCCTCATTTAACAACTTTTCTATTCCAGGTTTCTTCCTTTTAGCCATTTACTAAACCCTCTCCAAAAATTCAGTGTCCTCCCTAAGGTAATGAGTACAAATATGAACATAATACTCAAAATGAAGCCTTACCACTAACCTATATAATAAAGTTATAACCACTTCAGACTGATATATAGTATTTATATAAAAAGCAATTAAATTGAATCTTGTCTTAGAAATATTAATAATAATCACAAATATAGTAAAAAAGTAAATAATTATAATTAATTAATTATAATATGTTCTAGGACTGGTCTTACTACCAATCTTTCTCAGATATTTTCTTTTCTGATTCTATCTCGGTGCAATACTCTGAGGGCTCACCTCAGACATCTCATTTCCGTTGTAGTGATCTTACACTTCTGTGAAGTTGTTAAATGTAGAATGCAGACAAAAACACTAGAAACTTGTTTCATGTGTTCAAAATTGTTCAGCATTTTATGGCATGTTATTTTCAATGGAATAAAGCTAAAATGCAAATATCAGGAGTACCAGGTTATAATTATGAAATAAAATTATTTTTCAGTTTGGGTTATAAACTTTTGAAATTATTTAGCTAATGATGTGGTAAGTTAGTGCGAGTGATTTTAAAACTTTTGTGAAGGGCTATATATTTAATTTTGATTTTTTTTCATGCTTGATTTTTTTTACTAGTAGAGTGACTTCACTGTCTTACAATCTTTCACAATGATTTTACATAAATTACTGCTAATGGTCAACTTTTAACAGTTGGTCAGATTTCTTACAGTTTCACACTTTTGTACACAAACAAAATGGTACACAGAATGTTTATGTTGGCCTAACCATGGTTAGTATATCAAAATGTTTTATCTAGCATAAACATAGCACCTAGTGTCTCTTGTAAGTTTTATTTACATCACCTGACACTTATACTAAATTATCAATACTGATGACCAACTTACATGAAAGATACTGTGCATTCTTGATGTTGGCGTGATGTCACGTCATGCAATTTTGCCTGATAACTTTATTGCCATCATTACAAAGGAGCAAACAATAATAAAACAAGTATGGCTGTGTATACACAATTTATATAGGTCTACTATATATGTGTTACTGCTGAAGCTGCTGTGCAAATTCTTTGATTATTGTTAGTATATTATTTTTTATAGTAAAATTATCAATTAAAATATCAATATGTGGAGAAGTTATCGATTGAGGCACTAGTGAGATATAAAGTAAAATTACAATTAACTGGGCTTGATTCTTGTTCCTACCAGCACACCCTGCTGATTCGTAGATCAATGACCCGACAGAATGGCCCAGTGTGCAGTACTCAAGCATGTACAACTACCTTGTGTTAAAATAAAATGGGAAGACAACATTTATTTGATATAAAATGAGCTGAACACACAGAGAAATAGTCAGACTTTGGATCCCACAGCATTCCTCTTGTTTCCTGTGTTCTGCTGTTGATAGCTTTCATCACAACATTCTTCTCTCCTTTTCAGTAGCTTGACTGAGTATTAAATAGAAGGAAATTCAGGCCTTTTCAACTTGTTCTTGGTATTGATGCAGTTGATTACACAACAAAAGTTCATCATAAACACAAATAGTCCTTACATATACGAGTCTAGGCAGTTGCCAACAAAGCCGTCAAGTGTACAGAATGAATGAAACTTCCCCTTTGTCATGCTATTTGTTTACCCCCTTGCCTCGGTTGCTATGCGGACAATGCATTGTGGGAAGGCAAAGTTCCCAGATGTCTGACCTCAAGAATAGATTTTTACCTTAACATTTCACATATCTTCTATTAAAATGCTATTTCATACTATTACTTTTAAACAATAATTCCCATATTTTTATAGTTTTACTTACTTTTTTCATAGTCCAAATCAATTTCCTTTGCTCCATATTTTTCTATTACAGCTTGAAGATCTGAGTAAAATATCTCTCTCTGTTTCCGAAGGGATGTACCAATACGTATAACCAATGGATTCTGCTCTTCAAGTTGAACAGACAAAGTTTCTCTTGTAATTTCTCCTTCTTCCTTCTTCTTTCCTACTTCTAGATTATTTGAGCTTGAAAACTTTCTTTTGCACAGTTGTATCCATGATTTGTTTATCAAATTCAAATATGACGAATACAATCTATTTTCAGACGAATAAATTACTTTTCTTGGAGTTTGTCTTCCAGTTCCATTTCCTCTATACTTAGTGTTTAAAAAACAATTTTTAGTGTGACATTTATAGGCAAAGTGTGGAAGTCCTGACCCTTTCTGCATTTCATTTTTAGCATCTTTTGAACAATCACAATCCACACAAAAGTAAGGAATTCCACCTGGTTTTAAACCTAAGCCTAAACCTAAATCACCATCAGGACTAAGTTCTTCCTCAATTTCAACTTCCATTGTTTTAACTATTTTAAGTTTTCATTTCGGCGGTTTCACGAAGTCATGATTGTTCCAATGTTCTTTTCTTCTTACATACGTATTTTAACGTTTTCAATATCACTAACTCACCTTATCATATCTGTAGTTTTTCCTGGCTTTTCATGATTATATATGAAATTAACTTTTCTATACTATCAAAAATTCACTTTCCACTTCAAGCTTCCAGCAACGTCAACCTACAGGTAAATTATTAACAAATAAATTATTAAGGAGAAAGGGAGGCCACCTTCAAAATTTTCTATTTTTAATTTTATTTTTTTAACATGGCTTTCATATTTGTTAATTTATTGGGATTTTGTATATTTCTTGTAGTCAGATTACATGAAAATTTGCAAGAATCATCTAGTTGCAATTTAAAATATTGATAAAATGTTAACTTAAAATATTTTAACTTTAATATTTCTGAAGGCATTCAAACGTAAACACCAACTGAACAACTAATGGCTTTGTTATTTTATCGACGTCTCGGTAATTATTTAGTTCATCTTAATGACATTAAGTTGAACATATTTCAATTAAGAAATGCGAAATAACCAACATATACGTCGCCACGGCTTTGCAAGAAGGAGAAAGTTTTAGAAGATGTGAGAATTGCACAAAACTACACAATGGTCTACCTGTGTTGTGTCCGCCGATAGATAGGACCTCGATTTTTCGCGTTAGTAAACATATATAGATGAACAATATTCTTTAATAATGGAATATGTATCACAATATTAGCAATGAAAACATTTTATAAATGAAAAAAAAAGTGCAATATTTATCATAATATTATTAATGAAAACACTATAAAACTTTAACAGCGAAATGTATCACAATATTATATATGAAAGTATTTTACAAAGAAAACAGCTGTTTCTTGAATCCCCCAAACCTCGACACGTTTCACACTGTATATTCATCTATGGTGGTCCCTTGACTGCCAGCTGGTGTGAAATGCTCAGAAATAGGTCTGAGATATCTTTTTCGGGTATCCCACTCTTTACAACTACATAACTTTTCAGAAGGCTCATGTCCACACCTGGCAGGTTAGACTTCAAAGCCAGAAGGAATCTTGGATTAAGTTCAGTATTAGCATCTCTTTAACCACCAGTTTGAAGGTCATCTGGGACCAGATTTGGAGGGGTAGTTGAAATTCTGCTTCCCTTCCACTTTCAATTTTGCTCTCCAATTGCCAGGATATTGCTGATGTACAGGATATCGCTGACACCCTTGGAGAGTGCTTTTCTCACCTTCCCAGCATTCCCATATTTCCCCCTTTTTTCTTGGGGATCAAGTCATACTCTGAGAAATAACTACTTTACTTTCAGGCAGATATTCTCTATGACTATAATTGTCCATTTACGCTGGTGGAACTTAAAATTGCTCAACATCATTCCAGCAGTACATCAGTTGAACCTGATGATATTCATTATGAGATACTGCACCATCTATCTCTTGCCCCTCTTGCTCTTCTTCTGGTTGTTTTCAACTGGATTTGGCAGAAGGATTTTTTCCAGATACATGGCATACTGTCATTCCTTTTTTAAGCCTTTGACTTGCTATCTCTGTAACACTTTGGGAAGATGATTAATGTTTGTCTTGTTTGGTTCCTTGAATTAAACAGCCTCACAAGAGCCCCTCTACAAACTCTTCGTTCACTGTCGAGTTGTATGTAATTTTCCTTGCCTTGGATAATATAAAGGTTAAACAGTTGTGTCTTGTTAGATTTTATTTGCGAGTTAGTCTTATCAATGAGCATAACCTGCATAGCTTGTACATTACAGTTGAAGAAATTAATAACTCGTTATCAGTAAATAGACTGGACTCTGCATTATTTTTATTGGATAATAAAAAAGAACCCACCGAACGAAAGAAACTATTACATCAATAATTGAACAAATCTCACACAATTTTATGTGTATGTCAATAAAAGAAATTCTGCTCAATAACTTTGAAAGTTGGGTTTGAGATCTCCTTTTGGTGCTGTTAATCTTGTGGTCAAAAACTGATCTAACACAGTAATATTCAAATGGTTATCACATGATATAGAGCATACATCAGATGATAAAATACATCTGATAGCTGAGAAAAGATAGTCACTTCATTGCAGTCACTGTTATTCCAATCAAATGAACATCTTAGCTATTAGTCAGACAATTAATACTGGCCATATTAATCAGGTAATCACCGTGTTTATCTCATCTGGCTAGTAGAGCTATCACATTACTCTTCTACTTGTACTTCTTTATCTGGCTCATCCCACACAGTCAAGTAATTTCAGCATTTTCCTACTCATCAGCTGAGGTGAGACATGCTTGCATGTACCAAGCAACTGTTGCAGCTAACACTTGTTTAAGTTGTCAGAGAATGAGATAAAGGACTTCCCCAGTTACTGACACATACCATGGCCATTCCCACTCTCCATACTCGAATATTTGTTCCTTTAATGTGGCACTTCTTCTGCCACATGGCAGTCTTTTGAAGCTATTGATGCCCAAACTGCTTTTCAGTCAACAAATACTTTAATCATTCCACACATATATACTGTGGAAACTATGTCACACCTGTCCCATTGGTGAGCCACAATTATATTTTCAAAGAGCTGTATTTCCTGATCAAACTTCTATTCAGCTGTGTGATATGACGTCATGACATATGATAAGTAAGTGCTAGTTGATTTTGTCAGCAATAATACTTTGCAGCAATGGTTTGTTAATTTATATTAATTACCCATTCTGCAAACCATCAGACTTGGGTGAGAAATAATAGAGTGAAGGAAACTGTTAAATTGGAGTTTGTCATTATAAGAATATAATTTGAAGATAATCCATGTCAAAGGGGTTGATAACATTTGTGCTGGTGCACTTTCATGTGCTATATAATTTTATGGTAAGGTAATTTGTACAGGTTGAATTCTATACTGTAATTATTATTGAAGTTGTATAATCCTTTAAATAATGTATTATGTATAATGTAGTCTGGCCAATGTATATATATATATATATATATATATAATGTCTTACTTAAAAATTGTTTAAAGCCAATTTTTAATTCCCTAAGGAGGGAGTTGTAACGAATTTATTGTTATGTATTTATTTTATGAAAATATTATCTTACTTCAACGGTCCAACAATTCAGTGCCCGACCAAGCTAGCTCGCTTCTCGGCAATTGTACGTACATCGACTTCAAGTTAACTGGCTGGATATCAAGGAGACTCTGAACTAGGAAGAAGATTTTATGTTATTTGTAAGTTAGTGAAATTTTTGTTTATGAAACTTTGTTTGTATTAATTAATTGTAATAGTTGCTATTGTAAATTGTACTGTTGTATATATATTAAAACGTATTTGTGTCAAAAACAAAAATGATTTGAATCAATCTTGTTGGCAAATAGCGTAAATTAAATAAACTATCGGCATATTTCTAGACACTAAGTCCAGGGTACAGTTCAACTATTAAAATTTAAATTATTTAACTCGGCTTCAGATTATTTCAAATTCTCAAAACCTAACAATATAAAAAATATTTATTCGTTCAGTGGATATTTTTGGGACCTTTGCCTACACTTGTCCCCTTTAATATGTAATGTATAACTACTAGAGTATTATCCCATAATCCGTGATTACCTATGTTGATAACCATTCCTTTTACACACGTTCAAGGGAGATAAATATTCCAATAATATTAGCTTGTACAAATTTCTATGCCAACTCTTGGAATAAATACAACTACAATCCATGAACGCATGACAAAAAAACAGGTTCAATCAAGTATAATCCCCAAAGAACATCATTTTTCTAATATAACCTTCATCCTAGATGGCCCGGCATGGCCAGGTTGATAAGGCGCTCGTCTCGCAATCTGAGGGTCGCGGGTTCGAATCCCCGTCCCACCAAACATGCTCGCCCTTTCAGCCGTGGGGGCGTTATTATGTGACGGTCAATTCCACTATTCGTTGGTAAAAGAGTAACCCAAGAGTTGGCTGTGGGTGGTGATGACTATTTTATAGTAGAATATTCGTTCATCTGGAGTGTAAAGGATGTTTTTCTAAACTTTTATCAAAGCGTACTTTTGTATATTGTAAATATTCCAGCACTCTACTGTTAGGCCTGTATAACAACGGTAGCATGAAATATAATCTAATAGAACTTATAACTATAAGAATTTCACCTTCTATACATAACCTACTAATCAGTAAATAAACATCTCCAACAATACAAATCGACCAACTTCATGAAGTAACATACAAATAAACCGTACGTATAAACACAGATGTAGTTTGGTAAAGCCCATAGAAAACGAACAACTATTCTACAAATGAAGGATCTCGGAATTAACCGCATTTTAAAGGTCGAACTGTTAAATAATGGGAGGACAGTGAAAATCAGCAAGAAATCGTTAGGGCATTTCCATAACGCTGTCTGCAATGAATATGATGACAATGCTATTTCAGTCGGGCCCGGCAT